TTTTACAGTAATTATATTTTTAATTTTAATTTATAATAAAAATAATTAATATAATTAATAAAAATAATTTACCATCTTTATAAATGATTTTATTTAATTAATATTAAATTATACAGTATAAGAGTATTATTATAATTAATTAAAATGATTAAATACTTACGAGCTAAATTATTAAATATTTTTAAATAAAAAATCAAATTAATTTTTATTATAAAAAGTTTAAAATATATTTATTAAAATTATATATATTTACAATCTAAATAATTAATTAAATAAAAAATAAAAAAATTTAAATAAATTAAATAAAAATTAATAAATAATTAAAAATATTATTAAAAATAACTTACTTCCTATTATTAATAATTAATAAATTATTAAATAAAAATATACATTTATTAAAAAATAATTTACCTTCTAAATTATTTTTAATTAAAAATTTATTTAAATTTAATTTTATATAAAAGTATAATTAATTATTAATAATTAAACAATGCTTACCTTCTTAATTATTAAAATTTTTTTTTAAAAAAATTTAATTAAATTTAAGTTATTATTTAAAATAATATAATATAATTAATAACTTACTAACTAAAGTTTATAAATTATTTTAAAAAATTAAATATAATTATATTAATTGATAAATTAACTTACGATTTATTTATTAAATATTTTTATAATAAGTTTATAATTAATTTAAAATTATATAAAAAAAATTAATATAATATAAATAATTTATCAACTAAATTATTAATATTAAGTATTATTAATAAAAATTTAATTATAATAAATATAATCATTAACAAATATTACTTACAATCTAATAATTAAATATTAATATTAAATAAAATAACTTACAAACTTTAATAAAATTGTATTATTTTTTAAAAAAATAATATGTTTAATTAAATATAAATTACAATAAAATATAATTTGATATAATTAATAATTAAAATATTATACTTCCTATATTAACAAATATTTTTTAAAATAATTAATTAATTTTAAGTTATAATAAAAAGTTAATTTTAATAAAAAATTTTACCTTCTATAATATTATTAAGTATTAATTATATTTTAATAAAAACTTTAATTAATATAAAAAGTTTATTAAATAAAAATCATTAATATTATTAATTTACTATCTATAATTATAAAATTTTTATTAAAAATATTATAATTAAATTATAATTAAATATAAATATTAATTAAAATAACTTACTTGCTATATTAAAGTTATTTTATTTTTAATATAAATTTTAAAATATTTAATTAAACATTATTAATTATAAAACTTACTGACTAAATTAATAAATTTTTTAATTAAAAATTTAGTTGATACTAATTATAATAAAAAGTATAATAAATTGTAATAATAACTAACAATCTGTATTATTAAAAGATTTTTAAATAAAAAAAATTTAGATAAATTAATTATAATTTAATGATTTATGCTAAATACTTACTTTCTATAATATTAATAATTATTAAATTATAAATTTTAAATTGTATTTAAATTAAAATTAATAAATAAAAAAATCGATTACCATCTATATTATTATCAATAAATCATTAAATATTTTAATAACAAATTTAAAATTTAGCAATATATAGATAATTAACTTACAATCTATATAAAAATTTTTTTTTACAAATAAAATTATATTAAAATTATAAAAAAAGTATTAAATGTATAATCCAATATTTAACTTACGATCTATATTGTTAAATTTGTTAAATATTTTGTAATTAAAAAATGTTGAATTTTAGAAAAAGCACAATTAATATTTTGATCAATAAAAATAACTTGCTTGTAATTTTACCAATTATTAATTTTTTTTTAATAAAATAAATTTAATTGAAATTGAATTAAATACATAAAGTATAATTAATCAAATAAAGTAACTTTACCATCTAAATTAAATAAAATAAAATTTAGTTAAGATTAAATTACAATAAAAAGTATAATTAAATAGTTAATTATCGATAAGTGACTTACTAACTGTAATATTATCAATCATTAAATATTTTTTATATAATATTAATTGAATTTAAATTGCAATAATAAACAAGTTATATCTTACTCCCTTTGGTATCAATGATCATTAAATATATTTTTAAAAAAGTTAAGTTGAATTTAAATTACATAAATTAAAACTACAATAAAAATTAAATGACTTACAATCTATAGTATTATTAACGATAAAAAATTTATTTTTAAAGAATTATTGTTGACTTAATAAATATATAAATTCCTTTTAACATTAAAGAACTCTAGATATTTTACCTTTTAATCCATCTAATGCATGTAATATTTCAAATTTATTAAAATTTTTAGTGAAATAAAATTGAGTGAATGCAATAAATATTATTATAGTTTACCTTCATCATTTAAAGCTGATTATAATGTCAAATTTCATATTTTTTAAAAAGAATTTTAATGTTATCATTTAGGTTCAATTTATTATTATATTTACCTTCATCATTCGAAGAAATGTTGTCTTCTGATGTATTTTTTTTAAAAAATAAATACAATCTTCAGTTTCAATTATCAAGTAAACTTTATTTAAAATTCATGCTTACCTTTTTTATCCATTTCTTTGTCGGTTTGACTTTATCGTTAAAATTTAAAAGAATGAACCTTTGCGCTTCTATATTTATATTAGTCATATTACGTGGAGATTTACTATGAGTCCATTATTCAACTAAGTTACAATGCCTCTCACTATAGGCTGGAATTTTACATATGCATACATCAAAAAACAAGTATTATGCACGTCAATCACATGTCAATAATTTGGAGCTATTTTATTTATTTTTTTATTTATATTCGTTAAAATAAGACATATGGGACCTTTGCAATAGAAAGGGAGGAAACAGCCGGAAAAATTCAATTTTACTTTATATGCAAATATGATTTTTAGTTCAGATTTAGCATTAACTCAATTTTTATTTTTCGAGCCGTTCCCCCCTTTTCTATTGCAAAGGTCCCATTCGGCAATTTTTCCATTTAAATTTTTTTTTTTCGAATAAAAATATTTTCATAAAAGAAAATTTTATTTGTAATATTTATTCGTTTATTAGCATAAAAATACAAATGCTTTATGAATTCTATGCTAAAGCACCTCATATCTATCTTCAAAAATTTTTTTTTTATCATTTGCGTGGTCAGTATTTATGCACGTTTGCATTTGCGCAATTATTTTGCTTTATTCACATGCGTGAACTGCCGGCAGTTCTAATCTCCTTTCAAAATTTTATAACAATATGTTTGCTATGAATGTATTAATTATTGCCGAAATAAAAAAATTTATTAAAATCTTTTGTGTATAGAAAAATATATTTAGATTGATTTTAAACTAGGAAGGTTTTCTTCCGATAAATCTAAATAATTTATGTGAGCTCTTATAATCCTTTACTTCCTCTTCAAGTTTCTTCAATAAATTTAAATATGGATCTTTTTCGATTCCAATAAACTTAGAAAGATAAGGCATCATTAATTTGTAAGTCGTTATAAAATCCTCAAGAGCCTATGATTAAAGCATTTAATGAATAACTTTGCTCTCTCAAAAGGAAAACAAAGCGTATTAAATTGATCATATTTACCAACTTTCCATAAGTACCGTCCCATATGTTACATTCTACGTCAATCGTGTCAATGGATACAAAGTTAGTTTCTCTTAAATACTTTTCCATATTTGAACATAACTTTGTATCCATTTTATTAGCCTTAAGAAATTGAATAACTAAAAAGATATTTTATTATTATCATAAATATTATCTTTAAAAAAAAGAAAAGAAGAAGAAGAAAAAGATACTTACATCCATTAGACAATTTCTCTTAACAAGGACCTAGATTGTTCATATCACAATCAAATTCCTGCAATTCAATATATCCTCCAGGCTTAAGAATCCTCAAAGCCTCAGGTAATATAGATTTTGTCCAGTCTTTTGCGGGGAAAATTGCTAACGAGAAACTAAACCTTACGAAGTCCAACGACCCATCTTCATAAGGTAGACAATATGCATCTCCCATTTCAAAATTCGCGTTGGAAGACAAGTCCGATGGATGAGGAATCGATACCTTATCAACGCCCGTAAACTGTGATTTTGGATACTTGGATGCCATATCAAGTAACCAATAACCCATATCGCAACTAAATATGTGAAATATACGGTAAAGTAAATATAAGCAAGTTCGAAACCATACGCATTATCAACAACTTACGCAACGTCAATCACTTTAGCTCCAGCTTTCAACTTTTCGTGTATTGGTGCAGTGTATTCTTTTTTCCACGTAAATCTAAGCAAATATTGTCGCGTCTGTAATCGATTTACTATCAAAAATAACCCACTATTAATCCATCTTGCAACATATTTTTAGTCACAAAGTTATTCTTACATACATCCTTCATGTTCTTCTTCACTTGGCAACGAATACTCGTTATTTTCATAATCTGGTGCGATTAGGTGAGATGAGGATTGTTTAGATTCCATTTTAGAAAAATTAGAAATAATAATTGTTATTATTAAGTTGATAGATTTATTAAAAAATATTGATGAAATGAAAATTCAAATAAACACGTTTCGATTCTTTAAATACTGAATCATTTAAAACACGTTAAACTTTTTTTATCAATAATCAAAAAATAAACACAATTGTCGTTAGTAATTTTTATATACTAAATATTTTTGTTATCCCAAGGCTGATTTTAAATTTAAAAATCTATTGATGGGGAAATGATTCCGGGTTAATAAAATTGATTTCATATTACATGTAAAATTAATTGGTTAGAAAATGGGACTAAGTTACCTTCTTATTTTAGTCGGAAATAATAGGCGTTGTGTATAGCCCTAAAAGAAAAACGATAACAGAATTAAGAATTTTCTACGAACGTTCTCATTTTAAGGTTAAAACTTTATGCGGAGCCTTTGTTGATATTTTTAGTTTGTTAATAAAAGTCATTTTTATCATATGTTTAATTTGTTGGTTAGATCATTTAACTAAATTTATCATTTTTAATGACTACCGTTGCAAAAGATTGGTAGGGATGATTCAGTTAGGTTCTGGTTCTATAAACCTAGGTTTTGATTAAATCGAACTGAACTGGTTCTGCAAAAACCGATCCCAAATAAGCCAATGATATAATCAACCTTTTTATACAATTGTATTATACCCAAAAATCGTTAGATCTTCCCAACAAACAACACATGGAGTTTCATGCTAAAATTAACTTTCGTTTGTTTTGCTCCTTTCGCTATCATTTGTTGGCTATTTTCGGTGATATCACAAAATCCAATTTTAGTAACAAACAAATAATCTTTATGTTTTATTAATAAATTAAAAATAGTGACAAATGTGACGAGTTAGAAGTACATGGAAAATCTTCTTTTACAAAATCAGCTAATCCCCCCAAAAAATAAGAGACTTGGACTAATAGAGCTATAATGATATATTATTTACGGAGTAGTAAATGCCGTTTTATATGCCGTTTATACAATCAAAATTAATAAAATTCCATTGACATAATCAAACTTCTTATTTATTAAAAAAATGTTATCATATTTTAATGTAGCTCATAAAAGGTTCGAAATCGGAACTTGATTTAGTGTTTAGAAGGTCGAACGAGTGTTATTTGAATTTTTATTTCCACCTTTCATTACAATTTATATACATATATTTAATAAATCTATCAAATTAATAACAAATAAATTTTTTTTCCTTATATTTTAAATGGAATCTTTTTTTTTTATCTTTCTTTAATATTTATATTATGTTTGACAGTAAGAATTGTTATTTACCCAATATTATCAAAAAATCATCATTACAATATCAATACCGAACGAAGAAGAAAGTACGTAAAATAACTTTAGTTAATCGAATAAAGGCGTCATTATATTCTTCGATATGCGTGGCAAGATCATTTTTCTGCTCCTGTGAATCAACATTTGATCTCTGATGCTAACGTACTTGAAATTGGGTAAGTTTGTTGATCGTGCTTTAAATCAGACTTGTTATCTCGAACTTACCAAAATTTTTTCATAATTTAGATGTAGTGTGGGATCATGGATACTTGATATGGCTTCAGAGTATCCAAATTCCCAATACACAGGAGTTGATATAATATCGAATTTTCTATCGGACATAAAGCCCCCTAATGCAAATTTTCAAATAGGAATTGCTTTACATTTACCATTTGAAAATGAAACGTTTGACTTCATACATTTCGTATGTCCGATTGGAAAAATTCGGTATTACCGGAGGCAATTAGGGTTTTGAGATGGTGGAAGTAGTGCTCCGTAAGGGTCGGGTCGGGTCGGGTTTAAGGCATATTTGAACTCGAACCCGTTAATAATTACAGAACCAGAATTTGACTCGTTGTTCGACTCGGATTCGATTCGACCCGATTATTGTTTAAACCGGATTCGACTCGAATTTTCAAGGGTAATATTAATGACGAAAATAAAAAAAAGTGCCATAATCTATTTTATTTTTAAAATTTATTATTTTTATTTGTGGCATTAATCCTAATTCTTTTTTTTTTTACATCATTTTCCACCGGAATTTCAAGCACATAACGAATTGTATTAGCTTTAAGACCACACCTTTTGGTTGATATCAGATCGGTTCCGCCAGAAAAAACTCGTTCTACTGGAACACTTGTTTATAAAAAAATGTATTAGTTACAGCTAATTTCATAAGTCACGGGACAGCCGATAATAACAGAGACTTTCCGAGAAAATTTATAAGGATTTGAAAAAGCCAACCACAATTTTATATGGGTTCGCTATATTCGGGACACTGATCTGAACGTGTTTTTTCTTCAAAAATTTTTTACCGAGTTTTTTTTTATCGATCTGCAAAATGAACGTCCGTCCCGTGACTTTTGAAATTAGCTGTGATGTTAATAATAATCGAATAATTTTTTTTTTTACCTGTAATTGTTCACTCCACTTAATTTATAACAAATAAATAATTAGTAAACCTATCGACTTTACCGGTTGTACTACTTCTTCTAGAAAACGAAAGCATTCGTAAAACAAAAAAAAAGTCTAGCGCGTCAATTTATATGATACTGCTTAAATCGGAATCTTGATCACCGGGTCAAGCAAAAAACGTGACCCTGACCTGGCGGTTTTTTTGAATTAATAGTCCTGACGAGCAAAAATTCGAGTCGGGTCAAACAACCCGGGTCGACTCGATGGTTTCGGAGTTTCGGAGCACTAGGTATAAGTACATGACCTATTATTATTTTATTTCTTAATTTTTTTAAGATGATAATAAAATATCTGCTTAATTTTTTTTTTTAATAAAATAATATTAGTAAATCAATCCCTCCTAAGAAGACATCTAGTTGTTTGACACATCCACAAATGGAAGGTATTCTCAAAGAAACGAATTTTGTTGAAACCTACCATACGCAAATTTTGGGATCGAGATGGGAAATTATTAAGAATTATTCGTTTATTTTTTTTTTCAGAGATAAAATTATTCATCAAATCCAACCCTTTAATTATAGGCTCTTGACAGTTTTTATATTGACATTTAAAATGACGATTTTCCATTTTCTCAACATCGATAAGAAGCAATATGTAAAATCGTTGAGAGAACCTGACGAAGAAGTTATCAAATATAAACCCACTTATAAATTGTTTAGAGTAATTGGAAGAAAACCTACCTAATCTTCTCATCATTTCTTTTTACGATGTATTATTGATAATAAATGATTAGGTGAAACTACAGCTGCCTTTATTATCATCTTCCTTTTTTAAGCTCGGCCTTTATTTAATACATGATTCCTTTAACATAGAATTTTCTACTGCTATTCTTATTGTACAGGCTAATTCTACTAACGCACAAATTTTGCTATCTTACCAGTACTTTAAATTCAACTATTGTTATTAATACTGATAATTTAGCTCTCACATATAGTTAGATCTAACGCTTTTCCTTGTTATTCAGACTTTCCTTTTATATTTAAATTATAGAAGAACGCTAATTTCTTTATCCATCTTCAAAGTTGCTAATTACTCTAATGATCCTTATAATGATTAGGCTAATTGATTAGCAAAATCATTTTTACTTTCGTCCATTTACAGTTTACTCTTGATCACATTCCTTTTTTACGATATATTCCTAACTTTAATAATATGCTTATTCATAGATATCTGTGCACCTTTTTGAAAGATTATACAATACTAAACATTTCGCTGATTATAGAGAAAACGCTAAATACAAAAAATTAACTGGATTTTCACATTCAAATTCATTCAATCTGGTTCTTCAACGGTTACAACTTTTAAAGAATCAAGAAATCATAGCTGAAATCTAAATTATTGAATAACTACAAACAATACAATTCATAAAGGCCTTTTAGAAATGGAGTTGTTGTAATAGAAATGATGAAGAATTTAATCATATAACTATGATAAAAACCATTATCGAAGACTCACTTTATACCTTAGACAACAAATTTTCATTCAAACTTCAAAGACTAAGTTCTCTAATAATTTGGAATCTTTTACACAAATTCTGGCAATTTGGTCTAAACCGCATGACATTACCTTTATTGGTATGGATTAAAGGAATTACCTAACACTATTATCACCTTCAAAAAGTCATCTCTTACATCACTTTTTTTAGCACCCTTTTATGATTTTTCTATAATCTCCTTTTTTTAGTAACATAAAAACTGACCGCAAAATAAAAAAGTCTTTGACCGCGGATTTAATGCATGGGTGGCAACGAAAAAAAAAGAGAGGCAAAATATCCCTGACGTTTTTTGAAAAATTTGATAAAGAACCGTCCTAAAATTCGAAAAATAAATTACTACTGGTTCGTGCTCCAATTTATTACCACGTGATCCGGACATGTTAAAATGATATTTTAGGGTTGCCATTGCATCCTCATATGACGAGTATCGAAATAGCTGCAATTTTGTTCCTCCGTTTTACTTTTTGAATAAATGACAACTGTAGCTGGATGAATTCTCTAATCTAAAGTTCTCCTTTTGTAGGTATTTGTCAATAACGCGAATGTTTCTTTGTTGCTATTTATATGAAGATTTTTTTTTCCTTTGATAGGGCCCTGATCTATCTTGCTTGAACCTCAACGTTGGCAACGAGTCATTGTGAAGAACTTTGCCGATTCTACTTTAGTAACAAAGCAAATGCCGATATTCCTGCGTAAATTGTTAACAATAGTAGAATTTTAATTTTTGAGATAACAAAAAGATCACGACATCCATTCCCACATTCTCCACAAGAAGAATTACTTGTTGATGACAGTTTTGGGGGGCGACTAATGAAGACCTCGAAAAATGTAGTGAGTTAGTTATTTTCTACTATTTGCAACAAATACTTTGCGAAACAGGATTTATTAATTGTGTTAAATTAATAATTCAAAAACGAAGAAATTGATAAACAAAAACATGTTTAGATTTTTCATAAAGAATTTTTTATTAAAATTTTTATGAAATATGTCCATATTTATTTTGGAAAAAAAATAAAACCAGAATTCTCCGACGCCAGTGATTTCTACAAGTGTTCATTAGATGAGAACGACTTTGGGTAGGAGTTATGAGATAGCCGCTGGTGTTTTGGTTATGGATTCAACTCCACCATACTATGACTATAAAAATAAAGCGAAAGATTTTGCGAGGACGTTAAAGGATATTTGATCGTTAATAATATTTATCAAGTTATTATTTCGATTGTTAAAATATTTGATTTTTTTGGAAAAGTACTGCTTTTGTCATTTACATTTTTTGCGATCAATTTTACTGTACATATTAACGAAGATTTTTATATTTGAATAACGTTAGTTAATTAAGAATGCTTTACACAAAAATAAATCACGCGAGAACGTAAAAAACTATATTTCTTATTTATCCAAGGCAAACAAAAAAAGCCAAAAAATTTTCAAAATCAGAAGTTTGTTGAAATTATAACCAAATTTGATATTTTTTTTTTTTTAAAACATTAGAAAATTTCATTTGAATTTAACCGGGTATTTGATTCACAAATCCCAAAAGAACTTTCAAAATTTATTTTATTTATTTGAACATTGCGAATACCAAAGTTAAATATTTATATAATCTATTCTATTAATTCGATTTCAAGTAATTACAATTTCCGAAATCAAAATTTAGCTATCTTTGAGTGCATCTTCGGCACCTCCTCTAATCATGACGAGGATGATGAGAAGAATGCTTGTGATCTCTCCTGTATTCTTTTACGGGTTTTCCGTATTCCTTTGGTGGTTCGGGTTTTTTGTATTCAGGTTCTTTGTATTCAGGTTCTTTATGCGCATCTCTCTTGTATTCTTTGACGGGAGTTTCGTATTCCTTTGGTGGTTCGGGAGTTTCGTATTCCTTTGGTGGTTCGGGTTTTTTGTATTCCTCCTTTGGAGCGGGTGGTTTGTATTCCTCCACTGGAGCGGGTGGTTTGTATTCCTCCACTGGAGCGGGTGGTTTGTATTCCTCCTTTGGAGTCTCGTAAGTCTTTGGAGGTTCGGCATATTCTTTGGGTACGGGTTCGGCTAAGGCATCTCGTTTAAGTACTCCTATAATTAATTCAAAAAGAAATGATTAGTTTTATAAAAAAAACAAAATTAAAATCATAATAAATTCTAAGTCTTTGCTTACCGGCACTAACCAAAGAAATGAGGAGCGGAAAAGCTAATAAAGCAGATGTGAATTTCATTTTGATTTTCTTTCTTGTTTTTTATTTTTTTTTAAAACCTTCGAGTGAAGTGAGGAACTAACGAAGGAGGATTCCAAGTCTTATATAATGATTTTTTGAAAGGGCTGAGATTTTAAAAAATCCTTGAAGAAATTTATAAAATGATTCGAGGCTTATTATTATGGAACTAAATTTTTTAATTTAATGAAATGATAAAATGATTCATTTGAGTTAAGGATCAATAGCCTCTTTCTTTCACAGCCCTTAGAATTAATTAAATATGGAAATCTTTTTTTTTATTTTATTAGACATTTCTCTCTATTTTCAAAAGTTTTCATTTTCACTAAGGTAAGTTATATGACGTAAATAAGATTTTTTTATTTTTTTTTTTTGAGGCTTCCAGAAAAACAACAAAACGTCCTATCGGGTGAATTGATCGTCCAAGCCATGATCAAATAGATTATAATCATTTTCAAGCCTCAAGATTTTTGATATTTGATTGATTTTTTTTTAATATACAACATACCCGGAGAAATTTCCCGTTTTTTTTTTATTTGATCGGGATTAAGCCATTAATTGACGCAAAATTCCTTAAATTTAATAGCCACAATCTTCATACCTAGTTAATTTAAAAAATGATGTGCAATCACATGATATACCGTACAACTCAAGGTTTAACCTAAGCCAATATGTGACGAATAATATATTAAAATTCAAAGCCATAGACTTATTTGATCCCGAATCATCTTTTGCACATAAGCATAACCATGTCATCAATCCGGGCTTAAATAAATCAAACTTTGCCACATAATCATAATTTAAATTTAAGGCTTAGGACCGACCGATTTTCGGAATTATGAATTTTAATTAGGAATAAATAAATTTTGATTTTCCAATGATTTTCGATTTGAGTTTAATATAACTGATAATATTGTAATTGTGGAATGGTCTTATTATTTACGTTGTCAGACGAATAGAAATTGGTTGGTGTCCTAAAATCTGGTCTGACACAACTAAGCATAACTTAATTTTTTTGCTGTGTATGCATTTAATTATAAGAAATGCATGACGAGAATGTTTGAAGTGGAAATATCACATGCACTTAAAACAAATTGAAATAACAAAAGAAATTGTGAAAATTTTCCAACCATACGATACGAATATTATTGGTCAAATTTTTGTGTAAACGTTCAAATAGGTTCGTCCAATATTTATTTCGATTTCAGATTTATTTATTTATTTATTTTTTTTTAAAGATCGACATCAACGTAAAAGTTTGAGGATCTATAAATTAAGTAAATTAAGTTAAAAAAAACAATTCCGACTCAAATAATCACGGGAACCATGAAATTCTCGGTTTAAGACAATGAGTAAATACTTTTTTAAAGGGCTCGTCATGTAGAAAATGGAATCGATTTCGATATTAGAATCGATTTGTGAATCGATTTAATCGCGATTATCGTTTCTCAAGATTTCGGCTTGAAGATTCGATTTTGATTTTCGATTATTCGAATCAAATCGATCGATCCATTGAGTTAGGTGCTTTGAGAACACTCTAATCTGAAAAAAATTAAATATTAAAACGCGCGATTAAAAAAAAAAAAATTTTTTTTAAAAAAAAATCGCGGTTATTCGCAATTTTTTTGTTTAGATAGAATTAAAATAAGAATACATTGGAAAAAAAAATCAATCAAATTTAAAAATTAAATTTATTAAAATAAAAGAATTCAATAAAATATCAATCCGAAAAATAAAAAATCGCGGTATAAAAAATTTTATAATAAAAAATTAAATTAGAAAAATTATTAATAAAATTTAAAACCGCGGATATAAAAAATTTTTAAAAAAATTAAAAAAAAATAAAAAATTAAGAAATTAACAGAAAAATTAAAATAATTAAAAAATCAAAAAAAAATTTTAAATTTATCATTAAAATTTAAATAATAATAGGATTAGGGTTTATGTTTTTATAAAAACACCAATGATGATTTAACGTTAAGATTAGGGTTAGAGTTAGAATGGGTTGGATTATTTATAAAAAAAACATCAATAAATTGTATTATTTATTTTGCTATAGATATGCTAAAACTAAGCTTTCAACACCTATTTCACGTCGTGTAGCGAAACCCCAGGCATCGCCCGGGTAAAACCGCTAGTTGAATGATATTTTTAATAATACTTATACAATTTTATGGTTTAATATTTGTTTATTTAAATTTTGGACGTGAATAATTGTCAAATTTACATTCTTTAACATATTTTGTAACTAAACATCTAATTCAACTTCCACTCCATATAGTTAGACACTTTTTAATAATTGTAATGCACCATATGCTGAGAATTATATAAGTTTATTTTATTTCCAAAATAGATTCGATTTTTTATACGATTTTCGATTTCGATTCGGATTTTCTGAAATTTAATTTTATTATGGCTGATTGACAACCATAAGGTTGAAGATCTATAAAGAAAATGATATGTAACAACATATGATGATGAAAATGCATAGTAGGGGATTTATATAAACTCGATCAAATTTTTTAAATTCAACAATTTTTTATTAAAATGGAACTTACGAATACAAACGAGGGAACTTTAGATCCAACACCAAAATTAAAATCTAGTCCAATACCAATCAATTTCGTTCCCTTTAATCAAGAGGCATATAATTGTTTTTGTTGTGGGGTTGTATATTCAGAGACGCCTTTATTTCAACAAAAATATTGTAAAAATTGTTTATTCTTGTATGTTAAAAACATAATCGTTAATGATAATACGCGTTCTTGGGAATGTTATTGGGATCAGGTTGATTACTTGGATTTACGATGTAATAAACATAAAGCAATTAGGAATGCGAATTCGGATCCTTGCACGAAAAACGTTCAAGAATGGCGTGACGTTTGCTTGGAAATTTCATACTTTAGACAGATGATCACCAATTATTGTTCGGGTACGCATTATTTGGAATATATATACGAAAATAGAATATTTTGTAAGTTATGTGGAAGTGTACTTCATGGTAATCTCCTGGTTGCCGAGTTCGGGTTGTGTTCAAATTGTTATCAAATTTCTTCCGGATGGATACATAAAAAACCTATTCCAATTCTTTACTTGCCATGGTGGGATACTACTTACAAATGTATCGGTTGTAATTTAAACTTGATTTTCGTAACTGACTGTCAGAAATGGTGTCCGGATTGTTATATAACGCACACCGGTTGCAGATATTGTTTAACGACGAATATTATTTTTGGATTTTCGGAACGATCACAATGTATGAAATGCAAGAGGATTGTATCTATAAACATTGATTTTGAAAATATTAGCAGTGGAGATGATGATATAGACGAATTTTTTCATAATATTAAAGTTGATGCTAACATTAACAATCATATCGTCGATTACATTAAAAATGTAAAGGTAGATTTCAACCCGTTAAGTGTTTATGATTTTATTAAAAAAAAATATACTAAACCAAGATTGAAATTGGGATGGATTCCATATACACGTCTCGGTAATTTTACGAAAATCGCGCAAGGTGATTTTAGTATTATTTATCAGGCAACTTGTAAGCGTGGTCATGTATGGGATAACGTGGCGGTCAAATGCTTTTCCAATTCACGGGATTTTAGAAAGTATTTCTTAAATGAGGTGGGTGATAATTATTCGAAAAATGAATTTAATTTGATTCGACTCATTTATTTATCTAAAAAAAATTTCTAGTTAAATTCGAATTATCATTGTAATAAATTTGGTCATGAATTTGAACGTATTCTTCATTGTCATGGGGTTACGAAAAATCCTAATACAAATGAGTACATGCTGGTGATGAAATACGCACGGGATGGAAATTTACATCATTATTTACGAAAAAATTTCGCGAGTATTGGATGGTGGACTAAAATAAGGATTCTCAAGTCCATTTCATCCGGGTATTACGTGTTTAAATTTATTAATGACTTGACCGTTACTATCATTACTTATTGTTTCTTTCTTTTAGGCTTCAAATTGTTCATAACGTGGATTTTATACATCGTAACCTTCATAGTGAAAATATATTAATGGAACCTGATTTAAAGAATTTAATCCAAGGTCGAATTGGTGATTTTGGTTTATCACAACCTGTAGATAATGCTCAATTAGATAATGAAATATACGGAATGATTCCTTATATCGCTCCTGAAATCTTTGGTGGTGCTTCATTTTCTAAGGCATCTGATATTTATAGTTTTGGAATGGTGATGTGGGAATGTACGACGGGTTGTAAACCTTTTACTAATTTTGTGAAGGATTATACCGATACCGAACTTATGAATGACATTATTAATGGAAAACGACCCGAAATCACAGAGGATACACCCGAATGTTTTGCCAACTTAATGAGAGAGTGTTGGGATCCTGATCCTGTTAAAAGACCTTCTATAGCAGAAATCTATGATAAATTAGATTATTGGTATAATAATTACAATTGCTTTGGAAAAGCAGAGGAAAAACGATTAGAATTAGTAAGATTAAAGAAAATCGGTCCAGTATTTACCAAAAAATATCCAAAGCCAATTTATTCTTGTAGAGTAACAAATCCGTTAACTTCCAGATCCTCAAATCAAGGTATTATCTTTATCATAATGACTAGAACTTCTAATAAAAGAATCAATGTGATCTAATGATTTATTCGTATATTTATGATTTATGCTATTAGGACATATTTCAAAGGATTATGATATAGATTTTAGAAGGTATAAATAATTAATATGTTAGTAGATAAAGGCATACGAATTAATATTAACTTGATTTTTTTTTTTTAATAAAATTTTAGTTTATCTGCAATATATGCAAAGTCAACCAAGGATTCTTCAAATTCAAATGCAAGTTATAATAATAGTACATCACTTAATGTATTAGGTTCGGCTGTTATTTCTTCAATAAAACGTAATATTGAAGAATTAGGAATTCAACCTCAAGGCAGTAGTAAGTAAAAGTTTCATTGTTTAAGAAATAATTAATTCTTATTTAATTTTTTTTTTTTTGATATCAAATAGGAAAACACATTAAAATCGTTAGCTATTTGAATTCGGAAGTCTCGGAATCCAAAGATGTTTGTTGAATCTGTTATTATTACCTACCTTTTAATATTTTATTTCATCATTATAATAAATTTAAAAAATTATTAAAATTAATTGTATACACCACTTTTTGTTAAAATTGTATCAAGTTCTTTTTACAAGTGCTTAAAAATAAAAAACAAAAAGGGCGTCAACAATTTATGTTAATATTGAGACCAGAAGACATTGTGTATAAATAAAATGGACATGAATTCCCAAACTTCGAACTGACTTAGGGATGCAATTGGTCACGGTCATAACCGTGATCGATATCGGTCGGTCAAAGACTGGTTAACCGACCGTTGACCGACTATGATCGTCCTATTAGGATCGTCCTATTAGGGGATTGGAAATCGATTTCGATACTTAGAATCGATTTGAGAATTGATTTAATCGCAATTAATTATCGTTTCTCAAGTTTCGACTCGATTAATCGAATATAATCGATCGATATGAAAAATAAAAAATAAAACTAGGAAACGGTTTCGGAAACCGTTGTTAAGTCCGGAGCACAAGTGTAATGAAAGGGACCAACCACGTATTGATTCAAATTTTGAGCGGGCGGACAAATGGGACACCTCGTGTAACCTTAGACCTGAACATATATGGGACCTTTGCAATAGGAAGGGGGGAAACAGCCGGAAAAAATCAATTTTACTTTTATATGCCAAATATGATTTTTAGGTCAAAATATGTTCAGATTTAGCATTAACTCATTTTTTATTTTTTCCAGCCGTTTCCCCCTTTTCTATTGCAAAGGTCCCATATAGTCCTTCACTTCGTTCCGGACTAATTAAACTAGGGAAACGGGGGACCGTTGTTAAGTCCGGAACTTTATCCAGAATTTTGTGCAATTGCAAGAGCCAGTCAGCATCGACTCAATTATTGAGCGGACGTATATGCAAATTAAAAAAAAAAAATAATTATAAAATATTAAAGTATATTAAAAAAAAAAATTAAATATTAGAACCCGCGATTAAAAAAAAAAAAATTTTTAAAAAAAACTATTAAAATAATTAATTAAAAAAATGACTAATTATTTTTTTATTAGATCGATTCCAACTATCATGTTACTTGACAATATTATGTGCTGTTGGGATCCGTTCTTTCATTAATTTAATATAAAAATTCTGTAACAACAACATTGGGATATGACTCCAGAAATTTCACAATTATCATGACTGAACCTAGATTATCTATTACGTAAATATTTATACATTAAAACTCAAAATTAACTTAAATAGTAATTCCATAATAATTGGACTTTGACTTTACTAAAAGCATTTCTGAAATCTTAATTTCCATAGTAAAGTTATTCATTGAGAATGATAAATGTAATAAACGTTACAACTATCAGACAGCTTCAATTCACACTATCGGAACGTGAATTATTTTTGAATTCGGATTATTTCAACGCAAAAAAAAAAAAAAAAAAAAAAAAAAATTTAGCATCCATACAATTTTATGACGAAAAAAACACTACATTTTCTAGAAAGTATTTTCGTACAGAAAAGATGAATCTGTACATTTCATATCTTTCCGAAAATCAACGGTACTAGTCAATAGCACCTTTAAATTTCTTAACATGGATAATATTTTTTCTGCTCCACAAGTTTACTTTGCACATCAGGAAGGCTTTAAATGTCAGTTTTTTTTTTTGATTTACATTATTTGATTCCATTCTTAGAAATGTTTCGAATTCAAATCTTAATTTTTTTTCTGTACGATCCTGCATGTAAAAGATTTGTCAATTTAGTAGGGGAAACTCGTATGTTTATTTTCATAGGGAAAGTTTAATGCAAAGAAAGAATGAAGAATTCACATTTAAATCGTAATAAAAAGAATTGCGATGCGCGTTGACGCGTGGTTGCACAGATCTTAAAAACGGATTCCCTTCCCCATATAGTTTTCTTACAAGATTGGTTAGACGGACTTTAAAAAGGTGACACAAATTTAATCTATCGGACGGAAAATAGGTACGACCACCAGTTTTTTGTCAAAATGCGAAATTAATATAATAAATGGTATTTAAAAAAAAAAATTAATAATTAAATAAACAAAAAGCTGTTCTTATGTACCGGTCTATATAAAAAAAAAAAAAAAAGTATCCTAAATTGCAGCGCTATAAGAATATGATCATCACTTTGAATTCTTCAATTGTTTTACAAGGTTCCTAATTTTTTGTCTCATTTCAGAAGGAGGCAAAATATGTTGCGTATCAACTTTTAGAAACTCTTCAAAGGCCACTTGATCTGAATTCAATGATGATTCGATGATTCTTTGATAGAGTTGACCAATGATGGAAAGTAGATATACCCCACAATCTTTTTTTTTTTTGTTATTTTATTTTTAAATGGTTAAATTAGAAATAAAATAAAATAACATAACATTATGCTTTAATTTGATCGGTTTACCTGAACCTAAAAAATTTAATCATTTCTTAGTTAGTTATAATTAAAGACAAAATACAATTATTAAAAAAAAAAGCTTTTAAAATCGTACCATTCATTTGTTGTGGGGTACTCATAATTTGAACATTTCCTAAAAAAAATACACTAAGGGTTTATATTTTGTTTTCCTTTTTTTTTATACTAAAAGTTTTTTCACCTACCTTCGATTCCCAGAACCCTAGCAATTTTATCAGAATATTTATTAGCAGAACTGATATTATAATTACTAGCACTATCGTAATACAGAAATTTATTATTCGCTTTGACATAAACCAATAAGGACCAATGAGTTCCTCCTACAAAACTTTCTAAATTCTGCTTGTCATTTACTGGAATGAATATTATATCGGACAAAAATATTTGATTTGGAAGTGCTTTAGAGAGATATGTTGTATCTTCATACAAAAAAAAGGTTGCATTAGGTAAAGAACAAAAAGGAATGTGATGTGAAAACAAGAGAACATTTTAAAATGGATATACCTTCAATGTTGGTTACGAGAAAACTCATCGACGCTCGTAAAAGATAAGGTTTAATAACAGATCCTTCTTTTATAGGAAGATTGGATTCAAGATGCCTTAAAAGGGAAAATTAAATGTTATTGTTCATTTT